TAGGATCATATATATCTCTAATATACATAAATAAACCAAAAGAAAGAATATTCCTTCACATGATGCAAATTCTTTATGATTAAATTCTTATTATTATTTTATTAAATTATGTAAATTTCTTTAAGGTCAAAACTTCCGAGCAGACTAAAATAATCTTGGAGCAACTGAGGATTTCCAGCGAAACAAAATAATGCGAAATCTTGCGAAACTTTTTTTTCTTCACAAAATGCTGCTTCCTTTCGGAAATTCCTTTTCTCAAAAAAAATTCTTGACAAAGTTTGCGAAATACGAAAGAAAATGTTTTTAAGAGAATATTTAACATCAAAACTTGTTCATTTTCTACTTTAGGATTTTCAAATCTTTGCTTTCCATAATTAATCTTTAATTTATTTTTAGATTGTATGCTTTGTACAAGTTTGGTTTGATTAAACTATGCAAAACGTATAATCTGCAACAAAGGATGCAAGACATCATCAAGTAAATAAAATAAACAATTTAAATCCTCCCTTAGAACATATGAAAAGATAAAATATTCGAGAATATATAATTTTTCTAAATTGCAACCTTAGTTCCAAAGTAAATTTAAAATCCAAGTTTACTTTAGAAATCAATTGTTTGGGGATTTGGGAGTAAATCAAGCATGCATCACTCTAACTGGGATTCATTTAGAATTATGTTTACAGTAAGTGACCATCCCACTCTCCACTATACTCACTATATATTTGGTCAGACAACTGCATACCACTGCAGTTTAGTTGAGGGTGTCCCGGTCTCCCATTGAATACACAGTCCATCTCAATCGATTGAAACTTACAGATGTTGATGACTCAATGTTTTTCTTTCAAAGATTTGCTCCGTACTGCTCTTAGAGATGTGCACGTTCGACATTTTTTAATTTCGTTACTATATCGTTCGCGAATGTGACCCATTTCGTTAGTTTTTTTCCCAATCGTTCAAAAAATTATTTTGTTCGTTCTCAAAATTATTTTTCATTTTCCATCTATTTACATCGTTTTCTCACTGAACGATGGTTCAGTAAAAAAAAACGATTGTTCGTTATAAATTTGTTTTAACAAATTCTTTGTTCATTAGTTTGATACAAAAAATTGTTCGTTCAGTAAACAAAAACAATAGTTTTTAAAAATCTTTTGGAAAATTTGTATGTTCACTAAAAAACTATCGTTTTTTCAAGTTCGTTTGAACGATTTTAAAGCATTCGTTTTTTCCTGAACGACAACCTTTTCCACAAAAAATGTCATTCGTTCTCAAAAATTTTGTTCGTTTAAAAAACGATACCCATCTCTAAGTCTGCTCTAAGGACTAACAATGTATAAAGAGAGAAGTAGAAGAAGAAATTCTCAAGTTGTAAAACTGGTAAGGTAAGCTAGAATTTAGGAAGGGGGGGAAGGGCAAATGGTAAGCTGGAAGTGAGGAAGGGGGAGGGGAAATGGTAAGCTAGAAGTGAGGAAAGAATGTTAAGGGAAGCTTTAAGAAAAGGAGAGATTATAAAAAGAGAAATTGTAAAATAGTTTTTTTTTATTTTAGGGCACCCATTAAAATATGTTTCATAATGGTAAATGAATTATACAAATATAAAATAAAAAATATTTTAAAGAGAAAAATAAAGAATTTTTGACTTAAAAGGTTAAAGAAGATAAAGAAAAAAATGTGGGTTGACGGTTTTGTGGATATCTACATATATGGATAAAACACAATATTTCTTGTACAGGTGTACTCTTCAAATACAGAAAACATATTTTATTCAAGAGGGATTAGGAAGGGAATAGGAAGGTTTTTTTAGGAAGGATAAGGAAGGGTTTGTTTAGGAAGGATAAGGAAGGTTTGTTTAGTCAGGGAAATTATATAAAAGGATGGGGTCTGGGAGAGGTATATACGGAGGGGTTCTGGGAGAGAAATAGATGGAAGGGGTCTTGGAGAGGTATATAGATAGATGGGATGGAGAGGTATGTACGGACGGAGTGCTGTCTGGGAAAGCTATAGACTGAGGGGTCTGGGAGAGAAATAGATGGAGGGGGTCTGGGAGAGGTATAGACTGAGGGGTCTGGGAGAGGTATAGACTGAAGGTTCTGGGAGAGGTATAGATGGAGGCGATGGAGAGGTATATACGGACGGAGTGCAATCCGGAAGAGGTATATACGCAGGGGGTTCTGAGAGAGTTTAAAGTGGGTATTGGAGAGGTAAAGTTTAGGATGAATGTAATGAAGAAAGGGGGGACTGAGAAAAAACGAATATCTCAATTTTTTTTCTTGAAAATAATTAATGATCTAAAATGTGATGATGTGCTGAGCAATGAATGGAGTTGATAGGAAAACTAACGAGCATTAACCTGAGCAATTAATATTATTTGTCTCCCTGATCAACCCTTAATGAGAAAAATAATTATTTTTTATAGTCCATTGATTATAAAATAATGGGCCGTGTAATTAACAAAAATTGTTCTTATGAATTTGTCCGGAAAAGAAGGCAGCAAATGAAAAAAAAACTGTATTAGGGATTGTTAAAATCAATAATTCAACAGTGGTTTAACTTTGTTCTTTTAAGCAAATTTTTTTTTTGCTCTGTTTCCAATAGCACTTTAATTCAGCGGCCCAAACCATTTCTGATTTTAGAAGCCGTCTAACCTTTCTAAAGGCCTTTTATCTCTTTTATATCGGGGGTTCATTGTGTATCTATTTTCAGTGTATTATATTATATTAAGTAATTAAATTACATTAGCTTATAAGTAATTTGTTACTTGCTTTTATGAAAATATTAAGCAGCATACCTTCTGCAGTACATCGTGTATTATATGTAAACAATAAACATACACTAAACTTTCTGACAGAGAGATAAACCATATCACAAGGAGTCCAAAATACCTTTTAAAATAAGAAATATTTTTGGGGAAGTTTGGGTCGTGAAATACAGAGTAAATATGCTTACAATTTAACCGTATTTTCATTAAAATCATGAATTCGAAATTTTTTCGAACATGGGATTTTTGATAAAATTTGGGCAAATCCAACATAAAACAACAATACCACATTGAAAATAAGTAAACTCAATAGTGTGTTGATGATGAAAAATTGTGTGTTTCTGGAAAAGGTTCACAGGTAATAATGATAAATAAAAATATATATAATAAATTATATAATATAATATATATAAAAATAAAAATAATTTCTCTAAAAATGTTTTTCTGTGTGTGACACACCAATTTATCCCGACTCTAAACCTTCAATACTTTCCTTACAAAACTTTCAGAATAGACTCGTTCCAATCCTTTATATTAAGAAAAGTTTACAAACAGAAAGTTTACAAATAAACTCTCCCTAGTCGTCTTTAAAGGGACTGTTCAGCTAACTTCAAGTGCAAATAATCTTTAATAGTGCCGCCAATTAGCCCTTTTTCTTTGGTTAAAATTGACCAAAATCATTAAGAGACCTAACAAGAAAACCTGAAACCTTTCAACAGATTTTAAACCTCATTTAAATAGTTTGAATAAGTAAAATAGGCTAACTTAACCCTGTTTAACCTAAACCCTATGGGAGTGGGGGGGAGGGGGGGCTCTGATAAGTTTCAAGAACCGGGCTAATATCTAGCCAATGGTTTTTCTCCAGAACTCAAAAACGGTTTTTACTGGAATTGCCGCTCAAAATTCTTCACTTTTTCAACATCATAATTGTGAACAAATTTTGCAAAAAAAATTTTTTTTTCATGTGTAGGGTAGGGTAGAAGACAATTAAACGGCTGAATTGAGTTTCAAAAAAGTCCAAAATAGTCCATAACCTATTTATTATTAAAATTAGTTATTTTTAAACGTTTTTACTTTCGAATTCTTTAAATAAAATAAATTTAGAGGTCTTTTTTTTAATGAGTTGGACTAGGACATGTATAACTCTGCCCTATCTCAACTGTAAGGGTAAAATCATAGGAGGGGGGGAAGCAGGCGGTAAATCCTTCTATTTCCAATCTATATTAAAAAAATAACAAGTAAAGCCAGAAAAAATAGTAAGTGGTGTAAGTGCAAATTATAAATGTGTTAGTGCTATGTAATTAAGTGGTTTAAGTTTTATGTAAGTAGCGTAAGTGTTATGTAAGTGCTGTAAGTAGCGTAAGTGTTATAAAAGTACTGCAAGTGCTATGTAAGTGGTGTAAGATGTTTTAAAGGCAGTGTAAGCGCTATATAAGTGGTGCGAATGCTATTTAAGTGGTGTAAGTGCTATGTATCTGTTGTAAGTGCTATGTAAGTG